TCGGACTTAAAATCTTTCCGATTTGTAGGGTCTCCGTTTCTCCGTTCTCCTAATTCGATTTTTAAATTCCAGATAAACCAAAAAGTGCGATTGGAGATTGGGGGTCAGACGGAAGTCGTTCGAGAGCAATGGAGGCTGGAATGATCAACGATGAAGTGGTAAGCAATCGTTTATGCTATTTTCAACAACGATTTTTATTAAAGGTATCAAGTGGATCCGGATCTTCCGCCCAGGGACGATCCATTTCGCCGTGTCCATCCACTGCTAGTCATGGGGATCCATTGCTTCCGGTCGCCGAGAACTGGTGTCACACCCAGGTATCTTATTCACAAGCACAAACGCTTGTTCAGATGAATCGAAAGTTTCAGGTGAAAGTCGTGAAATTCAACTACATGTGGACGATCAATAACTTTTCGTTCTGTCGTGAAGAAATGGGAGAAGTTTTGAAATCGTCCACCTTTTCGGCAGGCTGCAACGACAAGCTGAAATGGTGTCTCAGGATCAATCCGAAAGGTCTGGATGAAGAATCGCGGGATTATCTGTCACTTTATCTTCTACTCGTGCAATGTAACAAATCGGAAGTTCGGGCCAAATTCAAGTTTTCTATTCTGAATGCGAAGCGAGAAGAGACAAAGGCCATGGAATCTCAGCGAGCTTATCGATTTGTGCAAGGAAAAGATTGGGGATTCAAAAAGTTTATTCGACGGGATTTCTTACTCGATGAGGCCAACGGATTGCTTCCTGGAGATCGGTTAAGCATCTTCTGTGAAGTAAGTTATCGATTCAATTTATTCTTAAACCTATTTTACGTTTGCAGGTATCGGTTGTAGCAGAGACGATTAACGTAACAGGACAAACGAATGTCACGCAGCTCTTCAAAGTACCTCCTTGCCGGCTTGCTGATGACATGCAGGGACTTTTCGATAAGCAACAGTTTTCGGACTTCACTTTGATCTGCAAGTCGGAAAATGGGGCTCCTCCGCAGACCTTCTACATTCACAAAGCTATCGTATCTGCACGATCACGTGTTTTCTCGGCGATGTTCGACCATCATATGCAGGAATCTGATACCAACATGACAACAGTAGATGACATTGATCCCGATGTGATGCGAGAACTTTTGGTTTATATGTATACAGGACAAGCTAGGTATATAGATCAAATGGCTCAAAGTCTGATTGCGGCGGCTGATAAATATCAACTGGACCGGCTAAAAGTAAGATTTAGTGACGAAATATAATAGTTTCATCAAAATTAATATTCCAGGTGATGTGTGAGCAAGCATTGTGCTATCAATTGACGACTGAAAACGCATGTTTGACGCTGGTTCTAGCAGATATGTATTCAGCAGCACAATTAAGAGCACATGCTATTAACTTCATCAACGTTAATGCAGCTGAGGTGAGAAAAATCTTTTTCTCTCAATCCATAATCTATTCTATCACAGGTCATGTCTTCCGAAGGATGGCATGGACTAGTGCGAGACCACCCGAAGCTGCTCGAAGAAGTCTTCAGGGCGTTGGCAATGCAGCAGACACCACCAGTAGTTCTCGTTCAACCGCCCAAGAAACGACCGAAGCACAACTGTCCTTATTGATTTTTTTTCGGAAAATTAGAATTTGTCTTGATCATTGAATTGTAGTCAACGCGATTAGTATCCTCCCTAATTCTTTATTTTTTGAGGAGGACACTAATCGACAGAAAACGACGGGTTCCTCCTGTATGTTTATGTATTTTTTTTTTGAATTTTACCCACTTTATGTTTTCATTCTTGAATGCCCCTTGAATTTTATCGTCTACTGGTTCCCTGTTCTACCCCTCTTCTTTTATTAGTTTCTGCTATCAATCTGCAATTCGATTAGACGGTTTTTTTGGAATACAAAGATAATTTATGCCTTTTATCTGTTTGATTTCAATACCATTCAGAAATGAGAAACTTGATAACGCCATCTGATGAATTAATTATCAGTATAGAATTCCTTGTTTTCGAAGAAAAAGAACCTTCATCAAAGCTTCAAAAAAATACAGATGGATGACGATGAACAGAAAGGATACACCTGGGAGGCTGGTTACGCTGAAGGCTTGAACATCAATGAAGTTCTTGTCGAAGATGAGGGAGGATCCATTGAGAAATCAATTGCAAAATATGTGGCTGATAGCAAGCGTAAAGCGAGACTTACAAAACGACCTGAAAAAATTCGACTGGGAATTGTAATTATAAAATTAAAATTTATGAAAAGCTGTATGGCTTTTTTCAGATGCGACATGTCATGATCGTCATCGATTGCTCAAGATTTATGACAAGCAAGGCAATGCCTCCTTCCAGATTTGTAGTTGTGATGAAGGTACGATTTCGAAATGAATTCTTTATCTGGATGGCTTCTGAATAGTCTTATTCTTCAGGCGTTGCAACAGTTCCTCGAACGATTTTTCGAACAAAATCCGATTGCTCAAATCGGTCTGATCACTTGCAAAGATCGAAAAGCTGATAGACTCACAATGATGACAGGAAATATCCGAATTTTGAAAGAATCCTTAAGTTCTTTGACAGAAGCATTCTGTGGTGGAGATTTTTCTTTACAAAACGCTCTCCAGCTTGCATGTGTCAATTTGAAGTGAGTGAAATGAATACAGATCATTGATCATCGTTTCAACCGATTCTAGAGGTATGCCAGGTCATGTGTCTCGTGAAGTGGTGATTGTTATGGCAGCACTGTCATCCATCGATCCGGGAAACATCTTCAGTACTATCGAGGTTAGCCTAAATGGTGTCTTATCTTCTCGAAACTTGGGATTTCCAGACAATGAAACGTATGAATATTCGATGCTCAGCTATCGGTCTTTCAGCCGAAATGTTCATTTGTAAGGAGATGGCAAAAGCAACCAAAGGTTTGCATATTTAAATAGTTTGAAATCGGCAATGCCACGTATTTCAGGAGAATACTCGGTTGCTCTTGACCCTGATCATCTTCATCTGCTATTTTCAAAACATACGCTACCACCATCATCAGCGAAATCGAGTGAATGCAATGCGATTCATGTAGGATTCCCACACCACGAGCTGATCAAAACAAGATCTTTTTGCGTATGGTTGGTTGATTCCTAACTTTATTTCGAAGCATAAACAATCATACTACTTCAGCCATCCAGACTCAAAACCAATTTCATTACGAGGCTTCATCTGTACACAATGTGGAGCCCGCCACTGTTCCATTCCAGCAGAATGCCCAGTGTGTAAGCTGACACTAGTTGCTGCTCCACAACTTGCCCGAGCTTTCCGACATCTACAACCACTTGCTGCATTTAAGCAAATCGAAGTAACAAGAGGGTTGGTTCAAAATAAATTGCAGACCTAAACAAAAATCGAAAAGTATTTCAAGATCGTGCTACGCATGCGAAACACGTTTTTCCGATGAGGGATTCCGATGTGAAAAGTGTCGTTTAGTATTCTGCCTCGACTGTGACACTCTTCTCCATGAATCTCTACATGTGTGCCCCGGTTGTAATTAAACCTGCTGCAATATTATCTATAATTCTTTTCATATGACGGCTTCTTCACCCGGTCTCTCCCTTGATTTCTGCCCCCTTGATTTGTGAATGATTAAAAAATATATTAAATCCCCTGTGTGTTTTCATCAACGTTTTCTGTTACTTTGTTCTAAACCATATTATATGAGAAAGACACAATTTGATTGTATATAGCAGTTCAGATGATCACACCTGAGAAGCCAAAAAGAAGTAGGCTGCAACAACAACCAGGAACCCCAATTCCTACATCTCGACGGAGAGATGATCTTGTAAATATTCCTGGTGAGTTATGATTACTACTCAATCACAAATCTCAAATTATGCAGCTGTATACAATCCACCAGTTTCAAAATTGAAGAAAAACTACGATTTGGAGTTTGGACGATTCTTAAGGTCTGCAAAAATTGTGTTGGATTTCCTGGATAGTGAGTATTTCATACAGCTTTCATTCTAAAAACCTACAATTATTATTGGCTCGAAAAATGTTGCACTGTCCCCGATGCGTAAACAGTTGCGGCGATTTCACAAAGAATCCAACAACTACGATGTCTATTTCAAATCTCAAGCCTATTGGAAATCCTTCTACAAAGGTCTTATCAATCACTGCGGTGATATGATGGATTGCTTCAGATTTGATGATCTTCGAGATGTCCAGAAGATAGTTGAAAGTCACGATTTACCAGATGAATTGCTTTCGTTTGTCACACAACAGCTGATGGAATGGAGAGAACTATTCAAAGATGTAGAATGGTGATATATAATTCTGATGATAAGTTTGCAATGATAAATCAGGTTAAAGAGATTTCGAGAGACTAGCAAAAAGGTGGAAGCTTATCAACAGAAGTGCCAAGAGCAAGCTGATCGTTTGATGGTTCTCAATGAGATCGGTTTAGAATTTGGTTTGTCTTGTTTCACTTAGTATACAGTATACGGAAGGTTTTTTAGAAGCATGCAATCTGAAATACCACAATTTCAACAAAAACGACAAAAACATTGTTGACTCAATAACCAGTGCCATATTAAATATGCGCATCACACGAAAGCCATTAGATGGATTAAAACACGTTCCAATGTTATCGAAAAGGATCAGTGTCAAGCGATGGTACCAAAAACATTACGGTACGCTTAGGTTCAAGACATGGTGTAGATTTTCCGACAAAAAAAAACGTGAAGAAAATGTGAAATATAATTTTCAGATCCCTTGTCTCAAACAGAGAGTGATAACGAATCAGATGACGACGGATCTTCGGATAGTGAGAATTCTTCGCTTCGTAACGGCGCAGCAAACTCAAACGCTGATGATGCTGCTGACATATCCAGTGATGAGGCAGAAAACGATAACGATTTTGATGCATTTTTCAATGATTGAGAAACTCTTATCATTCCCCGATTACTTCTGTTGACTAGACAAGTCCATGTTTTTACCAGTACCTGTCTACATCATCAATATGATCTCATTTTATGTTCTATTCGATTGTCATGTGTCATATTTTTCCTTCTATTTCAATGAAGCTTTATATTTTAATGTTGATCATTGATCTGGTTGTAACTGTAAAGCAACTGTTTTTCATATTTATTACAACAAAATTAGAAATAACGGATACGATAAATAGATAAAATACAGAATGAGTATCGATATTTTTAAAACAATTAGATGGATTTCTTGAACATTGCACTAGAGTAGGCATCATCTGCAATTAGCAAAATTTCCATAGGCAGTTTTGAATAAGAAACTCACTTTTGGCTGTTGATATTGTTTTCCTTCTCTTTGAGTTGGAAGGGTTGATCGGCGGATACTTCACAACGCACAGGGCGTTCAAGTGAGTGCCCGGGCAGTGATGGCATTTTCGATTCGCAAAACGACATTGGTAGTTGCCAGGACAGCGAAATATTGGTTCCGCACAAGTGAAGCACAATCGATTTAGTCTCATGAAGTTTACTCGAGCCAGACTGTCTTTCAGAATCGGACACATTTCGCTAGTGTGACCGTAGTTGTTATCACTGCAATATATGCAACCGGTCATCTGAAAGTTTTCGTGAATTACTAAATATACCGTTTTGAACAAAAAAAAAACTAACCTTTTGTCTGAACGGATTGCTGAATTGACTGGCCATTTGATGGGAACCACTACTGGGCTGAACGTTTGGTGTAATGTTCAAAAGACTTGGTGTAGCAATTGCAATCTGCTCCATTTGAGTGGGAGCTGACCATCTCGAAATCGCTTTGTACTGAGTGCTTGAAGTCTGGAAAAAAATTTTCATTAACGCTGTCACGAATAACACGAACTAACCGAGTTATCAACCTGCACTTCGACCTTGGCTTTCTTGACAGTAGGCTCCGGAGTTGCAGGTGTTGGAAGTGGCGGAATTGAAATTTCCATGATTTCCGAAGATGTGCTTGGCAATCTTATCCGCTCGCTTCGTTTCCTATGTCGATCTTTTGTTAGTTGATTCTCCATGATTTCGATGTACTTTTCCATCGTTTCGGTATTCCTTTCCAGCGCTTTCGTGTGCTTTTCCATTACTTCCATTTGCTTGCCGGATATTGTCATGTATTTCTCCAGCGCTTCAGAACTTCGTTTCAACATTCTGCTCGTTTTGTCCATCACAGAAGTCAATTCTTTTTCTGTTTCTAGCATCTTCTTAATCTCATCGATCGTTACTCTCGCCATTTTTATCGAAAAAAAAAGAGAAGACTTAACTTCGGCAGCGGAGTAGAAAAAAAAACGGAGAAAAAAATTTTATCGGTGGGGAGTACGGTACCCAACGAGACCTTGAAAAAAATGCGGGAGTTCAAAAACAGAAAAGCTTCCTAGTTTATATTTAAAGTTTTACGTTAACGAATTCTTTCAAGAAAAAATTTGTGCCATAAGAGCAAAAACAATGAAAAACATTGAAAAAACGAGAGCGATGCTAATTGTCAAATGAGAGTTCTCAGACATTCGCACTCCGAGAATATCAGCCATTGGTGGCAGACCCGCTTTAATGTTCTCGTCACATAAATTGTCTTCGCAACCAGTTTGAGCTGGGCAACGTTCACATGTCGAACCATGTGTATAGAGACGACTGTTTAGCAGGACCGGACTGAAATTTAACAGTTTTTTTTTTTTTGAAAAAAAGTTGAAATAACTTCGGCCCGAAGACACACAACATGACAATTGACTTCGTGGAGTTAAAATACACTTCTGCTTCAGCGCATCCGATTCTAATTGTATCTCCATTGATAGCCTAAAAAGAACTGATAGTTTTAAAAAAATCTGAATTGATTACTAAATTGAAGGGTGCGTTCCAAACCGTTTCCGTTACTCTGTCTTCTCTGTGAGCATCCATTGTGAGCCTCAAGAAAAATTCACGAGTCCGTTTCATGTGATCTTTCTCCATCGTCTCTATCCAGAAACACATTGACCTATCATAGGTGAAACGAATGTGATAAAATGTTTCGATTTTTTGTCGTGATAACGTTTCAAGATTGTCATCCCAGTACTGTAAAATTCAAAATTACGAAAAACAAATTTTTCGAAAACCCACAATCTTTTGCATATCTGCTATTTTCATGTCAACGGCTTTAATGCGTCGGAAGTTGTTCAGTTGTTGAATCATATGCTTCCAGAATATGGTCTGATTTGGAAGAACTTCTGACGTCATGAATCCGGGCAACAGATAGATAAGAATACATCTAATAAGCATCTCCACTTGTGATGTTCGAAAATTGTATTGGTAGAGTTTTGTGGAATCATTGAACAATGACATGCTAACCCGGCTCTTTGCTTCTCTTTGTTCTGGTCATTAGAAGTTCTTAATTTGCTTTTTTTTTCAGGCCAAATATCAAGGACATGGCCGATCCATCATATTTCACAGAAGCGTGGCAAACGAAAGAGGCACTGGACCCAGAATTGGAGAAGAATGCCAGTGAATCGTCACGATCTGTCACGATCTCGTGTATTTTATGAAGCAAAACAATATTTAAAGTGAGTTACTAGCTATATACGGTGTTTTGAATATAAAATTCTCTGCTTTCAGTGAAGGATTTGCCACAGAAGAAGAACTTTGTAATTTTGTGTTGGCAGCTCTCAAAAGAATTCTCAAGTCTCTGTTTCTTTCCGAGGAGGTATGCACTAGAAAACTGGATGTTCATTATTTGATGATTCCAGATTGAAAATGTTGTCGAGTGTCTGGTTTTATCGCTTTTCAGAAGTCAAAGCAGGGATGAAGAAATTGGGAAAAATATCAAAACAAATTTGAAATATGGTGAAAAATGTTAATTATGTAGTTGTTAACTCTTTCAAAAATTCAGATCTTGAAACTGTTCTCAGAGAACATGACCCAGAATTCAAGGATTTTCATCGAAAACTTTCAAGTTCCATCACTAATTTCATCGCCTACTTTACACTTCACACAATCAGGTCACTTCATATTGTCAAAGTTATTAAGTTTATAAACTGTCACCTCAAAAATTACGGTAGTTTACACTGAGTCTGCAAACACGCAGGTAGTATTCTGGCACAAAAAATTGCAGCTGTGGAAGAGAAACGACGGTAGCCGTGGCGGAAAGTCCCACAGCGACAACTACCGTAACCTAAAAAGCTGTTTATTTTCCGAATTTATTTTTAAGAAAATTGAGATATTAAATCCAGAACAAATTTTAGGCCACTGTAGTTGCCGTTGTGGGGACCTTCGCCCGCGTCCACCGGAGTTTTTCTTCCACAGCGTTTTGTACCAGAATAATAAATTATAATACGTTTTTCTTCAGACAACACTGCTTCGCCACCTTCGGAGTTGAAGGTGATTTGAAAATCTATCAGCGTCAAATGTATGAAAAAGCCCGGGAAGATTCGAGAAAGGTTGTTCCTTGCTATAGAAAATGTTCATAGATTTCTTATTTCCAGAAAACGGTTGAATGCAAAACTACAATAAAGTCTGAATCCTCTCGCCAACAGTCAGCAAGCAAAGTAATTTTCTTACCAGTGTATTCTGAAAAAGATCAGTTTGATTTCAGCCAGAGCCAGTGAGAAGAGAGAACAAACAGGTTGGTACATCGATCAAGCAGGAAAAGAAGGATTCCTCTGATGACGACTTTTGTGAAATCATAGAACCGATGGTAAGACTCCAGATAGGAAAAAGAAGCTACTTTTTCACATTTACAGCCAGCCAAAAAAATGAGGCTTACCTCGACGTCTGAAACCAAGTCAGAAGAAGTTGTCAAAGTCACTGACAAACCTCCAGTCGAATTCCCAGAAAAGCAGATGCTGGATAAATTGGAGGCAGACGAAGCAGTTGGCTGTCCGATTTTCAAAACGTTGTTCAGAACGACTGTCGAAAACAACAACATTACTCGACATCATATCCGAGATATGACAGAAAATGTCAAAATTCTGATAAACGACAAAAGAAATCTGAAGATGGACTGATTGATCTCCATATCTTTTATATCGTACTTATTGTTGAAGTTGTTTCCTTTTTTCAGTTGTTATTGTTGTTTTTTTTCGCTATTAAATAAAATTATTTCGTTCAAGTCATCGCTTAACAAAGTTCAAGCTTTAAAATTTTCGTTTTTTCCCATTCAAAAACACACAGTTGTCATGGAAAAGACGTTAAAAACTGACGCTGCACACACACACACACACATTTCATCAAAGCCTTCTTTTTTCAAGGACCTGAGACATGGAAAGCTCTTTCCTTTCCATGGAAATTGTGCTTAAATCGAATTTCATATTCAACTCGATTGATTTAAGAAGAACGAACATTTTAATTTGCGGTAGTTGTCGTTGTGAGACTTCTCGCCCACGCCCACAATTTTATCTCTTCTACAGCTCCGATATTTTTATACAAGCATAATATTTATAAGCTAAATCCAATTCACTACAGTACTCGAAGTCAGAATTTTCAAGTGTGCTACAGTAATCCCATTTCTTTCCTCTTTCACCTCCGAACACAGGTGGCCATGTTCTGTTTTTCATTCCATTCACTACCACCAAAAAGTTGCCACCTGTGAATCATATGTTCTTTTTCCCATTTTCTCTTTCGTACAGATTGAACATTGCAGATTTTTCTGGATGAAGTATCCGAATTTAACCTGACGATGTTTTTTTTTCAAATTTAATTTGTACTAAATTACAATCCAGCAAGGTTACAGTTAAAAGTCATTTCGAGGTTACTGTAGCTTTTGAGTACATGCTTCACAATGAAAACAAAGTTCAATGACAACAACAACTAGAAAATCTGTTTTGAAAAGAAAAATAATTGCTTTATGTCGATTAATGGCGGTAATCGCTAATAAAACTGAGTAGAATAAAACTGTAACATAATAAAACTGAGCATAATAAAACCATACTTAACAGGCCAGGGCCCGGCCCACAAGCTTCGCCGAGCTTTGCCCTGACTGGGCTGGGCTCTGGAAGTCCTTGACTCGGCCCGGTCCGCCCGGCGAGGCTTGTGGG